AAAAAAAAAAAAAAAATTATAATAATAATAAAAACCATTTGGGCTAGTCATGGTGGCTTGTGCCTGTAATCCCAGTACTTTAAGAGGCCAATGAGGGAAGATCCCTTTGAGACCACTCTGGGCAACATAGCAAGATTCCCTCTCTACAAAAAATATGAATTAGCTGGTCATGGGGCATGCACCTGTAGTCCCAGCTACTCAAGAAGCTGAGTCAGGAGGATCACTTGAGTCCAGGAGGTTCAGGCTGCAGTGAGCTAGGATTCTACTACTACACTCCAGCCTGGGCAACAAAGCAAGACTCTGTCTCTAAAAATAAAAAATATAACATGACATAAAATAATTTTACTTCAGAGAAGATGTTTATGCTTTTATGTTTTTTGTTTGTTTGAGTCAGAGTCTCATTCTGTCACCCAGGCTGGACTGCAGTGGCATGCTCACGGCCACCGCAGCCTCTACCTACTGGGCTCAGGCAATCCTCCACCTCAGCCTTCCAAGTAGCTGAAACTACAGGCACATGCCACCATGCTGGGCTAATTTTTTGATCTATTATAGAGAAGAGGTCTCACCAAGTTGCCCAGGCTGGTCTTGAACCCCTGGACTCAAGCAATCCTCTAGCCTCAGCCTCCCAAAGTACTGGGATTACAGGCTTGAGCGACCGCTCCCAACCTGCTTTCATGTTTTAATATAAATGTCTGAGTTTCTTAGAATTCACTTCAAACAAAATTCCAAAACCACACCATGAAGACCTTTTCCAGAAAGAGCTGAAACACTGGTCTTTCCTCTCCCGACCCTTCTTTCCAGTCCCCTGCAGCCTCCTCCATGCTGAGCCTTGAGGGGTCTAACGATTTGCTCACTGTGAATACCCAGTCCGCAGCACACACAGGAGAGGTGCTATGTAAAAACAAGATATACCCCCACACAGTCCCTCATTATAAAGGTTGCTCATGATTGCCTACAGCTAAGTTCCAACAATTCAGAGGGCTAGAATGGAAAGTTAATTCCACTGGACATGAACTTGAAGACTGCAGAAGAGCTTCTAAGCTGATTATTTGATGACTTGTGGTTACAACATTCAGTCCAGCAAGGAGAAAGCTATAGCACTGGCCTCTCGAAAGGTTCACACCTCAGCCGTCTGGCTGGTTGCCTCCTTTCGGAGGAAGCTGCGTTACTCTGCCATCTGCCCGTGCTGGGGACGGATCTCTTCGATGCCAAGCACTGAAGAGCGGCAGGACCCAAATGCACACATCTTGCGGAGGCCTCTCACTCAGCTTAGCTTCTCCCCGCCCCCGGCATTTTGAAGAAGGAAAATCATAGTTTCTAGGATCTAGAAAAAGAAAAACATCTGAATCCAGGAAGAGCTGTTTGAGAGTGCCAGGATGGTTTCTCCTGGCAAATAAGGGGCCTCATGGCTGGAAACTGGGAGATGAAAAAGGTCTAAGGGGCTGAAAGGCTACAAACAAATACGTGCCCTGCCTTCAGTCTTTGGGGAGATACTAGCCAGCTAAAAGACCAAAGAAGTTCCTGCCGCAAGGATCCCGAAAGCTTTCTAATGACAGCCATTCATGAAAAGACCAACCTAGATGTTTAAAAAAACAAAGCAAGCAGGGCTCAGTGGCTCAGCCTGTAATCCTGTGCTTTGGGAGGCTGAAGTGAGTGGATTGCCTGGGCCCGCGGGTTCGAGACCCGCCTGGGCAACTTAGCGAGACCTCATCTCTACAACAAATCAAAAAATTAAGCGGGCGTGGTAGCGCGCGCCTGTAGTTCCAGCTACTTGGAAGGCTGAGGCGGAAGGATCGCCGGAGCCCAGCAGGTCGAGGCTGCGGTGGCCGGGAGCGGCCACTGCACTCCAGTCTGGGTGACAGAGTGAGACTCCAAATAAAAAAAAAAAAAAAAAAAAAAGCCAAGGGAATGATTAACAAAACTGAGGAAGGTGGTTGCACGGGAGAAGGACAAGACACAAGTAGGAAGCAACACTTGGGTCTTCAAAGGTACTGGTAATATTCCATTTGTTAAGCTTTCGGTATCTAGATGTGTATTTTATTATTATTCAAGTACATACGCTTTATATATCCCCTTCTGCGTATATGAGCCATTTGGAAGCATAAGATCCCACTCTAAGCTGACGTGCTGCTTCCTGGAGAGCAATACGAATGACAGGACTCCAGATCACATATTAGACTAACCCATCTATGCTGCACTCTCGTGTTACTTATTCCTACCCAAACCACCTGGACAAGTATTAGGGTGCAAAGTCATGCCACTTTGCCAGTGGGCCACTTGCATCTTAGCAGCAAAAAGACTTGTGGGGGACAGTGGGATGGGACAAGATTTGCTGGGCTGTGCTTCAAGGGACAGGACAGGGACAGAAGCCTTCTTTGGTCTTTGAGGCTGGCGGTCCTTTGTGTGAGTTATGTTACTGCCTGTGCTCTAGGTAACAAAGAGACAGAATGCCTATGTCCAGTTCCACCCTGCAAATTAGTAACTGTACTGCAACAGAGTTATGGGATAAAAGGAGTTAAAAGCATTATTAGACTAGACTGGATGACAACATGTAGATGTAACCACTGGCCAGTTTTCAAATTCCTTGAAACCTAAAATATAAACAATGAAATAGTAACAACCTGCCTTTCTTGTCCATAAATCTCCTCATGCCCTAAGATGTCCACATGGCCTTTTCTATAACTTCTGACTAGGATGTCCAAATACCAGGTTTACAGCTCCAAGGTACCTCTGCCCCTGCTAAAACACATGGTGCCAAGTCAGCCAGCCTGTGCCATTTCCAACACGTCATAAGACAGTATCTGTTCATGTGCTACAGGCACAAAAACCATGTGTTCATTTTTAGTTCCAATACACAGACATCTGTGCGGCAAGGTCAGATCCAAAACTCCAGCATAAACCAACTAAAGAACCTATAGAGGGAACTTCCAGGGAAGAGCCAAGAGGCACAGTCCAAGATCTAAAATCTTAGAAATGACGTTGGAAGGGAGAATGTTAAGACATGAAAGGCACAAGACTCAAACGGACAAAGATTTTTAAGCCAGGGAGTTCATTCTAAGAGAGCTGCCAACCACAACCACTTTGTGGAAAAATAGTTAAAAAGATCAACAGAGTGTGGACCCAAAACCCAAACACAAAAGCAGAACTTCCTTGCCACACCACAGAATCATTTTGCTCTCAGCTTGTCATGCTTTTACTCAAAAGCACCCCTTGAGACCTGAAGACTCAAGGAAACAGTGAGAAAGGTTTCCTGAGTAGTTGGGACTCTACAAAATAATAGCCATGCGTGGTAGCACGCATCTGTAGTTCTGGCTACTTGGAAGGCTGAGGTGGAAGGCTCGCTGGAGATGCTGGGGTGGCTGTGAGCATTTATGCCACTGCACTCCAGTCTGGGTGAAGGAGTGAGACTCCAACTCAAAAAAAAAAAAAAA